AAGGATATGAAGTTGATATCTTTCCCACAGTAGGCTTTTTCTTGTGAGGATGATGAAGTTGTAATCTTAGAAAAGCTTGGACTATGTTTTAAATTCGTAGCAAAGTTATCCTCGTAGTTCTTCGAAGTGTATCGTATATACTAGGAGCGGTCTTACCGTTGGAGTGTAGAAGGCAGCTTCATTAAATGCTTGTACTGTTGATTTGACCGGTTGGACCTTCGACTTGCTATTTTGGGGGCGAAAGGATATCCGCATGGTCAATCATCAGCTTTAAATATATCTTCATACGTACCGCATTAATTGAGCATTTAATGCGTGTACAGTACCATGTTCCCGTTGAGTGGCTCCTAGCCGTTAGGGTATTTCTCGTTAGTTTCACGGCCGTTGGAAAGTGCCACCGAACTCTGCTAAGTAAAAGCAAGTCTGAAGAGGTTCACTGGTTCAAACTCTGATGACCGTCTCTGATGCCAACTCTGGTACTTACACTGGTACCCAGCTCTGGTAGCTTCTCTGATGAGCAACTCTGGGAGCAACTCTGGTAGCAACTCTGATCAAGAAGTCCAAGAGGATCTCTGGCACGTTGACTATGCTAATACTTACAGAAAGAAATTCTAATACATAATTTCTAAAGGGGGTACTTTCAAATTCTAATAGTCCTAGCATCATCAAAATCTAAATACTTTTATTCCTTACAAAGTGGTTGTGCACAGGGGAGATGTGCGTAAAGGGATAAGGGGGTAATAATGGAATGAAATATACGGATGTTTAAAAATAGGAGTAAATCTATCCTATTTGGGAAAAAAACCATACATAGTCCTATTTGAGAATTTGTCTTTTCTTTTAATCCTATATGGGGCATTTACTTTTTAGTTATGTGAGTATGCTGCCCCGGCTGAGTTCAGTGATTTATGTTTTAGGAAAACTGCTACAAGTGAAGAGAAAGCATTTATTTTGGACTCCATGCGCTGCCCATTGCATAGATTTAATGCTTGAGGACATTGGGAAGTTGCCCACAACTAAAACAACAATAAGAAAAGGTATTTGTGTAGTGGGTTTCATCTACAATCAGACCATTGCTCTCAACATGATGAGAAAGTTCACCAACAAGATGGAATTGCTTAGACGTGGTATTACAGGGTTTGCTACGTCATTCATTACCTTGCAATGGCTGCATACTCAAAGAGGGAAGCTTAGAAACATGTTTACTTCCGATGAATATAAAAACACTAATGTTTCCAAAGATCGAAATGCAAAGAGAGTTCTAGACATAATTCTTAATCCTACATTCTGGAATGATGTTGTTTACATTCTGAAACTGATGGGTCCTCTTGTACGCGTTCTAAGGTTGGATGATCATGAAAAAAACCCGCAATGGGATACATTTATGAAGCAATGGATCATGCCAAGGAAGCAATTCAAGGTTCTTTTCAAGGGAATGAAAGGAGATACAAAACAAATTTGAAATTATTGATTTAAGATGGGAAACTCAACTCCATCATCCCTTGCATGTTGCTGGTCATTATTTGAACCCTTCTTTCTACTTCAAGAACCCAAGAATGGATCTGGACAATGAGGTTATGCAAGGGCTTTACGCGTGCATTGAGAGGCTTAGTGAAAATGAAGAAATTGAAGATAAAATATTGAGTGAGCTGAATGCTTATAAGAGAGCTGAATGTCTCTTTGGATTGAAGCTAGCAATAAGGCAAAGAGATATTCTTGGTCCAGGTAAGTTAGGCATATAATATTGTTTATCACCCACCCTAATAGAATGTTTAATGTTTACTTGCATTTAAAGGTGAATGGTGGAGGAACTATGGATCACATACACCAAATCTTCAAAAGCTTGCCATAAAGATCTTAAGTTTGACTTGTAGCTCCTCGGGATGTGAGCGCAATTGGAGTACATTTGAGCATGTATGTTAGCAACTTATTATTACATGTTTTACAAGTTCAACAAACTGTTTATACTATTTTCAACAAACTGGAGGCCGGACTAACAGTTTTTTTATATAAATTTGTAACTTAGATTCATTCGAAGAAGAAAAATAGGCTTGAGCATCAAAGGTTGCAAGATTTGGTTTATATTAAATATAACCAAGATCTTAAGGAGTGATTTGATAACCGTGATTTGATTGATCCAATTCGCCTAAACGATATTGATGATAGCAATGAGTGGTTAGTGGGAGTAATGGGAGGAGATGGAAAGGATGCTAGGGATGATTTGGTTTTTGATGATGACAACAACATTACTTGGGGAGATGTTGCTGACCTAACGGGTGTCTGTGATCCTTTGATAAACACTAGGCAGCAAAGCAGAATAAATGAAAGAGGTACAACTTCTAGAGGGGCTGCAAGCTCTAGAGGGGCTGCAAGCTCTAGAGTGAGAGACCGCTCAATAGACTTTATAGAGCATGTTGAAGTGGCAGAGCAGACAACTGTGGAAGAAGAAATTTATGATTGCAGTAGTAGTGAAAATGACAATAAGATGAGATAGAGTTGGAAGAAGAAGAAGAATTTGATGAGGAGGAGTGGTGAATGATGAATTCAAAGGGCTTGCAAGTTGGATCTAATTTTTTTGACTGTTTATATATCAAGGCTCAAACTCTTAAACTAGAACCTTGCTTTTGATTCAAGATGTTTAATCATTTATAGCATGATAGCATCTTATATTTTGGTCATGAAACTGAAGGCTTAAAAGAGTATTACTAAGTAATTTAGGATTTGGGAATGTTAAGACTTAAGATGTTTGAATTTTGGAAGCTTCATTGTCATATATCATACTATTTGAACTTGAAATGTGTATGTAATGTATTATATATGCTTCTAGTAATGACTTATGTATTATATTTGAAAGTAGCTTAAATAGCGGTCATCCCGCTATCCGCTATACCGCTATAGCGCTTTTGGATCTAGCCGCCCCGCTCCGCTATCTGGGATTGACAACACTGAACTCAACGTTACCAACATAAGTTAAATATCATGGATAATATGAAATATAATCTATGTTTAAATAAAGACTTTGAGTATACACCATACATACATCCTATTCCCATACAATGAAGATATATGCTCTGTACTTGGTTGCATTGTTTCTTAGACTTTAAAGTTATTTTACCAATATGTGTAATGTGTTTGGTCTAATCCTCTAGAAAATATTTTAGTATTGCAGAAATCGGTTTCATGTGCTCCATCTCTGTGTGAGTTTTAAAGAGAGACAATGACAGCCAATAAGTTTAATATATGCACTCTCTTTTAGTGTAATCTTCTCCTCTTGTGCCCTTCCTCGTCCTTTAATAATTTCCATTTCTTTTTTTGTTCTTTCAGATTAATTCTACCCTTTGTTTATGAAAAATTTACTCCATCCTTCCCTATCTAAACCTTCTCATTTGAATCACACGCATTTTAAAAAAGGTTGTTTCAGAACTAATGAAAAATTTACTTCATCCTTCCCTATCTAAACCTTCTCATTTGAATCACACGCATTTTAAAGAAGGAAAAAATAATTTAAACACTCCAAATTTTGAAGAGATGTGATCTAAGCATCCCAAACTTTCATATGTAATATTTATACCCCGAACTTTATATAAAAAGTAATATTAGTGCCATGAACATATGTTTTTTCTTTCACAATATAAATTTATGACGCTTTAACTACACCACTATAAATGTTGAAGTATTTTAAACCATGTGTTTAACACCATAAGTTTACATTTTCGAATAAAAAGTAATAGTAATGGTGCTAACATAACTTTTATGTAAAGTTCTGGGTATATGTATTACATATGTAAGTTTAGTGTGCTTACCTCACACCATTTCAAAGTTGGGGGTCATTCATTTTTCATTTTCATTTACCCCAGTGCCGCAAAGGCTCCCACCATTTCAAAGTTTGGGGTATTTAAATTATTTTCCCCTTTTAAGAATGTTGTTTCAGAATGTTGTTTCAAAACTAATGAAAAAATTATTCCATCCTTCCCTATATAAACCTTCTCAAAAATTGCCAGATATTAAAAAATAAAGCTCAATTGGCCTTGAAGAAGAGGCAGAAAAATAAAGAAGCTCAATTGCTCTTCAGATTCCAATCACATTCGAACTTTAAACAACAAAAAGTGAAAATTTCATTTTATTAGAGAGCTTACCTTGAAGTCGTTGACAAAACACGAGCCAACCAAAGATTTGGAAGATTCCGTGATGCTGGGGTGCAGCTCCTAGCAGCGATTCCCTAACTAGAGAAGCTGGAGCGTGGTTGACATGGGAAGAAGGAAGATGGTGTTCCGTAAACCTAGGAGAGAACAAAGAAAGTACTACCATCGTTCATTGTATGTGTCTCATTTTGGATTGACACCATTATTAATAAAGTGATTGAAAAATAAAAATTGTTATTGAAATTTAGGTACAATAAAGTTAAATATTGTGGATCACATTTTTTTTCTTTCTAAAAAGTAAATACTACATATGATCCTAAATAAAGTTCACACTTTCTTTTTTGGGCCGATCCAAAATAAAATTCACACTTCTCCTCCCTTCCTTATTTGGCAAATTATCTACATCAAAACAATGCAAAACAATGCAAAACAATGCAAAACAGTGTCAAACAATGTCAAACAGTGTCACAATAATGTACTCTACAGTAAAGTCAAATTTATTTCCTTAATTTGTGTGAAATCAAACACTGAACTTTATTTAGGACCGGAGAGAGTATTACACTTATTTTGGAAATAACTCAGAAAATAATACAAATAAAATAGGAGGGAAGGAGTGTATCTTAGAAATGAATACTTTGGTAGCAAAGTGGACGAAGTAACTATGGTCAATTGGCGAATCAGAGACGGATTGTGGGCCTGGACTGTGGTCGAAATGGGTTTATAGACTTATAGGCAATTATTGTGAAAATATAAACGACATCGTATGGTGCATACGCCAAAGCGTTACTTAGCAGTTAGACGCAGTTTCGCGCCATCTTTCAAACTCCTTTAGAATTTGATTTAGAATTTGAAGTTGATTGTCTATTTCCCTCCTGTGGCATTAAAATCAAAGAAAACGCTCAAAACAAACCATATGCATTATTCTTCAAGAATTTCCCATTTCTGTCTATTTTAATTATGCAAGAAAAAATACAAAAAAAAAAAAAGCTAAATGCTCTCTTCTACCACAGCATAAAATTCAGTTCCCCGCCCATATATAGAGATGGTCGTTGACAACTCATAAACTTTTTAAACAGTATAGAAATTATTATTTAACATCTAGTGATGATTCTTTTCATGCTTGCAGACATGTCACCCTCCCCAAACTCCCGTTCCTTGACAACCTTTCCTGTCTTCTGCATAAATAAACTCGAGGTACATTTCCACTGCTACAAAGCAATTCCATTTCAAGATATGCCCGCCTTAGGTGACATGGCTGCCAACAAACAAACAAAAAATAAGAACAAATATAAAAAGAAATGGTATCCATGCCTCATAATCTCAATCCCCTTTATAATTGTGCCCCAATCTGTCATGGAGTGCCGCATGAGGATGAGATTTTTTTAGCTCAGGAAGAACAATAGTTCGTTACATCCTCACACCATAATGTTGCATAAGGGGGAGTAGTTATTTTAAGGATGTAATTTCATACATACAATGTGGACGGTGGAACAACCCATGTGGGCGTTCAAATATACACACAGGTTTAGGATAAAAGATAAAGTACATCTTCTCATGCAAAATGCAAACTAACTTAAGATATAAGGGTGTTAAATGTACAATGCATCAACTTGGTTCAAAAATCAATTTCTTATTCCACCATGAAAAACGCATCAATATAAACTTTAAAGTGCATCAGGAGCATAGAAAATGTTCCATGACCATTTTGCACAGTAAGCACTATTTCTACTTCAACCAACCCCAATATGTCTGTGTATATGCAGCAAGGGCCGTCCTCACTCCTCACGCCTTTAAGGGTCAGGTTAAATAGAAGGTCTCAACAGGCTCAGACTATACAATGATTAAAAGTTCAACAAGAATAGACTGATTAATATGGGTACAGAGCATATGATAACCTGTTTTGGTTTTCTTTTAACTTTTGTAAATTATATCAAATGTATTGATATATAGACATGATCTTCTAAAACCCACCAATACCCTCCATCCAAACAGACCCTACCCTAAAAGAGTCTAAGCTGGGGGGGAGTAAATTACTAGATAGAAATGCTTGATGATGGTTTGGATTTGACGTTACTCCTTTTAGTTTATGGGTAAGATAGTCTTTCCACCCTCCTCCTCTTAGCTTGTGGAGTAGCAGTAGTAGTTGATGAGCTCACTGCCTGCTGCTCATCCGCCCCACTTTTGTAGCTGAAGCATGAAGCTTCCAACACACCATTTGGACTTCGAGGCACTGATCGACCACTGCCCATACTTAACCCCTTCACATTCTGAATCAATTCAACGCATTTCACTAATCTCTCCTGCAACCAATCAATTAATCAATCAAATATCCCCTCACTTTTGCGCAAAATGGTGTACCAAGTTTTGGACAGGAAACAAAATTGTGTTTTCTTGTAAAATTGATTTAACATTCTACTATGTAGGACATGGACAGCCCCATTTTGGTTGAAAACTTGTCGAATCTATCAATCATCAAATTCAGGCTCTGTTTGTTACGGAGTATTTGGCTTAGTGGCACCACAAGTAAGTAGCTTTTGACTTGCTTATTTGAATAAGTGATGTTACCAAATGCTTTTTATCCTTCAGTGATTAGCAAAATACCAAACAGGCAGACTTTCAGTTTTTATGCAATTGCAAAGTAGACGGAGAGGGGAGTATAGGGGGGTATAGGATTGATCAGATTTTTGTGTCTCCCTTTTCTCTATTCATTGTTTTTATCTCCAATATCAATACATCATATGCCGATTCATGTTAGCTGACCCCAAACTCTTTTGGGAATAAGGCATCAATGTTGTTGTTGAAAGCAATACTTGTGTGTCGGTGTGTGGCAATCAAATCAAGACCACTTCGCTAAATTACAGCTCAGAACTACAAACTATTGTTTTTCAAAATGCTATCAAAGATCTATTCTTTTTAAAGTTGTAGTTTCTTTAGTCCAAAGTGGGTGGCAATAAATCTATAACCATTCACCAAAACATGGATAAGATTAAAGTCATGGACCACATGTGGAAATTTTTCTTTTAAGAAAATGATGTACAAACTTCTTTAACAAGAATTCCCAAAAAAATTGTCCAGCCAAGAATATTCAATCATTTGTATGGAGAACACAATCTGAGGAGTGGAGTGGAGCTGTAACATTACCTTATGTACTTGTTGAGTGAATAAAGGCATTTCCATAATAAACTCTATTGCCTCTGTTCTTCTTGAAGCGAATACTGCCACTGCTGCAGCAACCTCTGAAGGCCTAAACTCCAAGAAGTCTATCGCTGCATCCAAGTTTCAAATAATTTGGGATATGTGTCAAAGAGTGGTAAAATGCAAAACAGTGCAATATTTAAAAAAGAAAGAAAGAAATCTACCTTTCATTGTGCTCAAAATAAGCTGCATTGAGCTTGACATTATGTGTAGTGATGGTAATTGATCATTATTAATCTTCCTTAGGAAATAATCTATGAATGTACAAGGTGTGTAAGCATGCATTCTCCACTTCAAGGTGCTCAGCACAAGAAGTTCCATTCTCTGAATTGTTTTGCCTTCAAACACAAACTTGGGGTCACCCACCTGTTCCAAGTAGGCAATTATTTGATGAAGTCCTTACCTGGATCCAATCATTCTACTAAGGTGTAGATTTATAAGAGTAATGATATTCAGTCCCTGCTTGGAAGGCAAATTTTCATCTTAAATGGCTCCATTTAATGCAAATGACAGCTCCAATATTCACTTTCAAGATATAGTTTTCTTTAATCTGTTTAAAATATATTTTGAATAAATATTTTAGAAAATGCAGATTTAGCCAATGGGCTGATACAGACACTTCTTTTATTTTGGACTTACCATTCGGGCTCTTAATCTAGAGTAAGCAAATGTATGTGTATGGTAAAATTGCACTAGAAAAACAGAAGTATTTGATTGTAGCGCATTGTGTTTCATTGCCATTTATAAATCATTACTTACAAAGAACAACAGGTTCAATCGATTTAATGAAGCATGCATTAAAGAGAGCAAATGCATTAATCACATGTTCACATCAAAGTTCACCTGTAAGCCAACAGTCAAAGGCACACTAATCTCCTCCACCTTAGCAGCTAGTGACAAACAGGCCACAGCTAACAATTGCACTATCCAAGTTTTACTTCTCTGTGAATTCCAGAAAATGAATGAACTTCCACAGAATTTCAACACAGCTAATTTTTACTTCAACACAATCGAAAATACTGAAAAATCTGTTTCCATAAATATATTACTGACATACTTACTGGCAGTTCATACATTGAGAGGAAACGATCCAAGAAATTTATTGCCAAACAAAGGCTGAACTCTCCAAAGCCAAAATGAGAATGAGCCTATGTAGATGTTTGAGAGTTGTTAGGTGTTTATTCAAGATTAAAACTACAAAGATATATTGAATATAAAAACTGGATATAAGACTAAAAAAAAGTATAAACAAAATAAAAATATAAATGCCCTTGAAGCTGGATCCACCATTTAACCACTTCTAAAATTGAAATATAGAAAATGATTACCAACAAAATAAAAAGAGAGAAGGAAAATCTCAATGTTAAACCAACAAAGAGTAATCAATTTGTGAATTACTTCCCTTTTAAGAAAATCTTTCTAAAATAATTAGCAAGAACGAAATAGCAAGGAGATCCGCTGATCTTTTGAGGGGGAGATTCCCCTCCCAATAGTAATAATAAAGAGGTTATAAAAAGAAAAGAAATTGTACTCAGAAAGTTTATTGAATCTACCTTCCAAATCCAATCAAGAGCCTCTGTTCTACGGGACAAATCCAAGTCCCCAGTTCTCAATCTGTTGAGATAATCATGTGCTGGCAAGTGCTGGCCCTCCCTCTCAACCATCAAAACAAAGCTCTCTTCACTCAAAACTGGAAAATCAATTAATGGGTCTGAATCACTACTGCCAAAGATCAAACTTTTATCAGCATCGGATTGACGAGTTTGATTATCTACGGCAACAGAGTCAAGATCATCAAAGCAAAAAGCACTAGTCTCTGCGCAGAGAAGGTTTGAGGCAACATAATCATGGTTGTTATCAGCCATTAAAGCGAAAGCAAAACAATAAAAAAAGATGCAAGAAAAGAGAGAGGGGGGAAAGGCTCTTTTGCTTTCTTCTGCTATCAAAATTTTCCCAACATGACGAAAATTTTAAAATTATGTTCAATGCTAGAATGAGTACTGCTCTCAAATTGCTTTATAGATTTTGTTATTTTCTCTATTTTTACATTCTTTTCGGGTGCTTAGGGAAGGAGGGTGGGGAAAGGGGGATACGAAGAGAAGTGGGGCTGGAGTCTGTTCCAATGTAGGAAATGAACATTTATGGTTTAGGGTAAAGAGAGTTCTTGACTCTCGAGGAAGAAGGCCTGTTCACTCCTTGATTTTCTAAGGAAAGGGAAACTCGACAAAAATAACTTAAGAAACAAAATCATTATTGTATATCCACTTGAGTTCGTCTGGTACCTTAATTTGTGTCTAAATCGTGAATATTATGGTAGAAAAATAATTAAAACAGATAAATTTATTACTCCGTATTATTACTCAACATAATATGGAAGTGTTTAAAGTTATTCGACTTAAATAAGTCGACAGAGTATTTTATAATGAAGATTGTCATAAATATGAGTAAATACGTTTGTCTTTTTCAAAATACAATTATTATGTTTTTATTTCATAAATAAGAGTAATTAATGTCATTTTTTTGCAGTATTAGATTTCAAATATAGCAATACTTTTCAAACTTGGCAGTAATTACTCTTATTGAAAGAATAAAAATATGACAGTCCTACTTTGGACTTCTCAACCATTTATAGTCTTATTTCGGGGAATTTTCCTATTTTATAAAATTCCATCCATTCAGATAACATTATCCTTTTAATTCTATAAATAAATTTATCACTTTTCTTTTTAAGTAATTAATTTGTGATGTCTATTATTTTTCTCTCATCTGAACAAACATTAATCACACAATTTGTACTTCATTATAAGGGAAATGTGCAAGTATACCTTTAAAATATATGTGCAGATACAGATATATCCCTGAAGTTCTAAAGAGTGTGATGATACCTCTAATGTTCCTATAAAGGGACGAATTAGCTCTAATTGAATTTAAATAAACAAAATAAATTTTAAAAACACCAAAAATAAATTATATATTAAATTTTTCTCCAATGTTCCCTCTTATTATTTTTATATTAAAATTTAATATTATTAGCATTTAAATGTTTCAAAACTTTACTATACATTTATAGTTCTTTCAGAAAGTGTAAAGTATGTGTTGCAATAAAAAAGATCACTAATTTTTACTATTGTCTGCACTATAAAATTTACTTAACATATTTTGTATGATGATAAATAGTCTATGATTACAAAATAGTAAATTTAGTTTTATTGAGTTTAAACACTAAAGAATGTTATTTCAAAAAATGTAACAATGTGTTCAAAGTTTTGCAACAAGTTTATAATTAATATTTATGAAATTGAAGTCCTTATTTACCAGAAAAAATACTATTTTTCAATTTAAAATTAAAGCCTTAATATTTTAACATAAAATAAATCTTTCTTATTATTCAGTTTAATAATGACTTTTTTATATAGGTTATTCTATTTAAAAATATATATAAGTTTTTCATTTTAAATGTTTCCTTTTCCTGAACCTGTAATGGTTGATAACAACATAACCAGGGCGAAGGCGCTCACAACACTTGCAATACGTGACTGAGCGTACCCTGGTCACCCGCCAGTGCATTTGGGTCCACGTTTCACAGGAATTGAGGGCTACCCGACGTGAACCTACCGGAATTGGGTTTTATGTGATGTTTGAATTTGGACAACATCCAGGGTCTCAATTCGCCCAAGAAGACAACCGGAGCACCGGGAGTTAGAATCACCTACCATTACTCTTTTCTCTCACTAGTGCTTTCTCTCGACTGTTGCCACCGCGGAAATGCTGGAACATGCAGGAATGGTGGTAGGGTGGAGGACCTGACACGTCAGAAGTCCCACAAGGTCAGGCAGCGCTAAGAGGATCATTTTCATTAGGCCAGATTGTTGACTTGACCCGAGAACACGTGGAAAACCTAGCGGGCCAAAGCAGAGCCGGGCGGAAGAATGTGTTGATGCGGAAAGGGGGGTGGGCTTTCATTAGCCCGACACCCTAGAAGCTTGGATTGGATTTCGATTTTTTTCATTGGGCCTAGAGCCTTAATTGACTTGCGGCCCAGCAAGGTTCCCTGGACGTTTTTGGACTGTCCCCAGTATTGGAAGATGGCGGGGTTGGATCATTTTGATAGTATAGACTAGCATATACTACCTCCGTCCCCCCTAATATTGGGATGGAACAGAAGAGACTGACGTGATTTTTAAGAAAAGTAGAATTATGTGATTGATAATTAATTGATAAAGTGAAAATACAGTAAGAATAAATTAAAGTCACACAAATGTTGCCAAATATGGAATGAAACAAGGACATTCAAAAATGAAACAATGGTACAATTATGGGAAGGCAGATGGAGTAATAACTTTTGAATTTTGATACATTGCGCTTTGTTAACTTTTTCTGGATAATTTACAGATTTATGTTTTATCAACAACAAAAATATGAAACTGATGCAATATTAGGAAGTTTATGAGCTGCTTTTCCCGAAATTAGCCATGAAATGATTGTAGTCACTAGTCACTAGACAAGGCTGGGAAACCAGACAATGAGCAGAGTTTCATCACTAGTACGGTAGAACCTAAAAAGCAATCCATTTTTGGGGGCTTAAATACCCAAGAAGTGGGGGGAGGGGAATAGGAAAACAAAGAAGAAAAGAGCAAATGGAAACACATAAGACTTGTAACGTTCAACAAACACTCAAATGAGGTCCCAAAATAAGCCAAAGTTTAAAACAAGGAAAACTATCATAGGTAAAGTACACTTCACAAGTCATCACAACCCATATATATATATATATATATATATATATATATATATATATATATATATATATATATAGTTGCATTTTAGATGATGTACGCCGTTTGACAACACCTCCTGCAACAAGTGGTTCATATCAGGCGTCACCTGTCTGATCCTGCATGCATCAAACATTATATGATATAAGTTGTAAAGCGAACATCAAATTAATTATAACTATACACACTATCAATAATCTTGTAGAGTGTCTACATGAAAATAAAGAACCATTTATCCTAGTATTTAACCATCTTGCTTTTAGTTTTTCAAAACCAGGAAGAAGATAACAATTGTGAACATGCCTTAAGACCAAAACATATGCAATTGGTTTTGATTGGTCACTTTTTTCTCATACTGCATTAGTCTGAACATATCCGAAACTGATCAAAACTGCAACGAATTCATAAATAAATTTCATAATCATCATCATTTCATCATTACCACAGTGCTGCAAAGGCTCCCACACCTTCGGTGGGTAAGGGGGGTCGGATGTACGCAGCTTTACCCCTGTACTAAAGCAGGGAGAGACTGTTTTCGGATGACCCGTATAATTTTGCCACTTGTACGAGCAAGGTTTGATTTTTAGTTTCGCAATCATTTCCGAAAACACACAAAAAAACAAAATGCAGACCCCTAATCAAGAGTCTAGCATGGGGAGAAGTTCATATCATCAAATGCAAGCAAAACATGAGTGTAAAGTAATTTTTCCAATTATTATAGCAAAAGCCATAGAGTTATTATAATTGTATATATGAATACTTACTTGTATATCAGAAGTCCAAAGAGTGAGATTATCCCTCAAAAGTTGCATGATAAGAGTGCTGTCCTTGTAAGATTCCTCACCCAAGGTGTCCAATTCAGCAATAGCTTCCTCAAATGCCTATATATGTATAAATAATGTTTACAATTACAATGCTAGTTTAACCAAATGGAGACAACACAATAAAACCAATCTGTCTAGAAATGAGATTATGATACAATTTATTGACAAATTAGATATAGACAACTTTTTATTACATATATTGTACTCCGTATTTCTCTATTTTCTTCTCAACTTCATTAGCTTGTTTCTTATGTCTCCCTATTTCATTCATGCATTAACTTATCCTTACTGATATCAACTTCTTTAAATCTCATATTGATCTGTTTTCCTGAAAAGGTGAAATAACAAAATAGAATAAAATAAATTAACATAAATATAACTATAAGATGCAAAAGTTGTCCTTATCACAATGAATTGGTTGGAAATCACTTGTGATCTATTGTAACCCATGTCCAAAAGTGTAGTCCAAATTAGAGTATTTGAATCATTTAGTCGGACAGAATGGAAAATTTGCTTGAAATTGTTCAAACCAAAAAATACATTTTCACCCAATAAATAATGCGGTGTAAAACACAATGTAATTCAGATATGATAAATAAGACTAAAGTCAATTAATAAGATGGTATAGATGGTATAGATAGATGGATAATACGGAGTAAAAGTGTAAAACGCAAGATAATAAAAAGAGAATAACCAACCTGCTTGGCCATGCCACATGCCTTTTCGGGTGCATTTAAAATCTCATAGTAGAACACTGAAAAGTTGAGTGCCAAGCCCAGCCTTATAGGATGCGTGGGAGCAAGATTGGCACCTGCAATATCCTGATGATCAAATAAATGATAGTGTTAAGGGTACTTTTGGAGTAACGTAAGTAGCCTCAGACCCTCAGTTAATTACTTTCCTAGAATCTCATAAAACAAACAGTTCGATATTCTCTTAGCAATAAAACAGAAACAGTTGAACATCCAGGATTTACTCATATACACACAACCATAAGAGATCTACTTTATAACCTTATCGTCTATGTTTCAACTTTCAAGAGAGAAACTTATGCTCCATCTCTTATACTCTGTCTCTTATGTTGTTTGGCTTATTCAAATGTAAACGCTTAAAATTAATTAAAATAGTATCAAACCCTCTTTGTGGTCTATGCTATACTGAAGTTATCTCTAGCATGAGAGAAAGACCTCAATATCCCGCAACGGGAATTGAATCACATTTCGCCCTCCCTAATAAGTTCCAACCTTACACCCCACTTGGTCACCTTCCACCATGGGCAGATTTTGGGGGGCCAATCTAAGCACTTGTCCAATGTCCACCCCAAATTTAAAAAAAGCTTTGATTTTTAGGGTAAAAAATTATGTATAAATTTTTTTCCAAAATTATTCTTTGTACCGGCAATGTCCACCTTTGGGTTTGTTTACTCCTATCAATACATCATTGACCTAAACTAGGTATAGGCATTCTAATCATACTAATAACATGAAATTGGATTCCTTTATAAATACTAGGAAACTTCATCACGCTTAAAACATCATCATGTTGTTGTTGACGTTTTCTTAAACCCCCCAAAAATACGGAGTATGAAGTAACAAATTGACTAAGTTTTTCAGGCTAAACTGAAAACATCAAGGAAAAAGTGGTATCTTTCAAAAACTTTTCCCAAC